CCAGCCTGGCCAACAGGGCAAAACCCCGCCTCTGCAAAAATACAAAAAAAAAAAAAAAAAAAATTAGCCAGGCATAGTGGCCTGCGCCTGTAGTCCCAGCTACTTGGGAGGCTGAAGCAGGAGAATCACTTGAACCCAGGAGGCGGAGTTGCAGTGATCTGTGATCCGAGATCATGACACTGCACTACAATGTGGGTGATAATGCGAGACTCCGTCTCAAAAAAAAAAAAAAAAAAAAAAAAAATCTGTGACACTTGCATACAAGTATCCAAGGTGGAAGAAAATAGAAGAGTTATTTGTTTTGATGAACTGTATATAGGTACCCATGAAACAACCTGCCAGTGTTCACAAAATCATTTTATAAGCCAGTGCAGTGGTGTGCATGTGCAGTCATAGCTACTCAGGAGGCTGAGGCACCCGGCTCAGGAGGATCACCTGAGCCCAGGAGTTTGAGGATGCAGTGAGCTGCGATCACACCACTGCTCTCCAACCTGGACAACAAAATGAGACCTCGCCTCTTAATTAAGAGATAAAAGGCCGGGCGCGGTGGCTCACGCCTGTAATCCCAGCACTTTGGGAGGCTTAGATGGGCAGATCACGAGGTCAGGAGATCAAGACCATCCTGGCTAACACGGTGAAACCCCGTCTCTACTAAAAATACAAAAAAATTAGCCGGGCGTGGTGGGGGACGCCTGTAGTCCCAGCTACTCGGGAGGCTGAGGCGGGAGAATGGCGTGAACCTGGGAGGCGGAGCTTGCAGTGAGCCAAGGTCGCGCGGCTGCACTCCATCCTGGGCCACAGAGCGAGACTCCGTCTCAAAAAAAAAAAAAAAAAAAAGAGATAAAAAAAATTAAAAACCGAAACCATTTTATAAAATGCTCAGATTTCCATCTTACCAGTGTGATATTCTCAAGGATCATTTATTAAAAGCCCATAGGGTCCTTTTATATGTATATGTAAATGTGTATGTGCGTGTGTGTGTGCTAAATTTTTATTTATGCATTTTTTTATTTTACTTAACTCCTGAATCATGTGTCCTTTGGCCTCAGCTTTTTTTCTTTCTTTCGTTAGAGCCACTCCATATTTGTCATGTTTGATTTTGTGCTGACTTTGATTTTTGTACTCTGGTGCTAGCTTCATCAATATTCATATATTACCACTGGGACTGAGGCCCTGGGCCCTTCCTAGAGCCTGAGGTTTTTGTCCCACAGCAATATAGGAAGAATGAATGTACTAATGCTTCTTCCCTATTGGTACCATGAGCATCTGTCAGTATTTGTGCTTCTCCTCTCCTCTTTTTATACATGTGTGTGCACCTACACAATCACATACACGCACACAGAATTTCTTACCAATTAGTATGTGCTTGTACCTTGTGCAAAATGACAAGATCTTGAGGTGATGGATACCCCATTTATCATGCTGTAATCATTATGCATTATATGCCCATATCAAAATATCTCCTGTACCCCATAGATATATACTAGGTACCCATAAAAATTTAAAACATTTTTAAAATGACAAGATCAAGTTTCCCATTCCAGCAGTTTTACAGTTCCTCATTTTGACCTTTACCAATTGGGATGTGAATCTTCCTCTTTTGAATGAAGGTGATTTCCAAAAACATTCAGAAATGGGAATCTTAGAGAAGAGATTCTGAGGAGAAAGCCTTGCCATTTTTCTCTTGTGCTGACTTGGTCATTATCCAGAGCCCTTCCCACAAGAAAGGCAGGGGTCTGGTTGTGTTTATAGGTGGTCCCCAGTTCTGCTTATTGCTTCATGTCTCTCTTTTCTTCCATTCCATTTTGTTCCCTCCACCTGTAACTTCTTGTGTTAGCTGAAACCTCTCTCTTCCCTCCTCACACTCAGATTACAGTGGACCCTATTTAAGGGAAGTGGATCCAGTAATGGTTTGTATTGTCATACTGTGACAATATGATATAATCACATGCTTATAATATATTTAGGATAAATCTCTTTGAGATTTTAGGTCAAGATCTCTACTACCATTTTCATCTTTAGAAATGGGGCTAAAACCTGGGCATGGTGACTCATGCCTGTAATCCCAACACTTTGGGATGCCGAGGTGGGTATCAAGACCAGCCTGGGCAACATAGTCAGACCCTGTCTCTACAAGATTAAAAAAAGCTAGCTGGGCCATGTACAGTGGCTCACACCTGTAATCCTAGCACTTTGGGAGGCCAAGGTGGGTGGATTGTTTGAGCTCAGGAGTTTCAGAACAGCCTGGGCAACATGACAAAACCCCATGTCTACCAAAAATACAAAAATTGACCAGGTGTGGTGGCATGTGCCTGTTTGTCCCAGCTACTTAGAAGGCTGAGATGGGAAGATTGTTTGAGCCTGGGAGGCGGAGGTTGCAGTGAGCCGAGATGGCACCACTGCATTCCAGCCTAGGTGACAGAGCCAGACCCTGTACCCCCAACAACAATAACAACAAAATTAGCCGGGTGTGGTGGCACACACCTGTAGTCCTACCTTCTTGGGAGGTAGGACTACCTCCTTGGGAGGCTGAGGCAGGAGGATCACTTGAGCCCAGGAGTTTGAGGCTGCAGTGAGCTATGATTTTGCCACTCCAGCCTGGACAACAGAACAAGACTCTGTCTCAAAAAAAAAAAAAAAAAAAAAAAAATAGAACCAGGCATGATGGCCCATGCCTGTAATCCCAACAGTTTCAGAAGCCAAGGCAGGAGGATTGCTTGAGTCTAAGAGTTTGTGACCAGCCTGGGCAACATATGGAGACCCTCTACTTTGTAAGAAGTCAAAATATTAGCCAAGCGTGATAGCACACACCTGTGGTCCCAGCTACTAGGGAGGCTGAGGCGGGAGAATCACTTGAGACCAAGAGGTCAAGGCTGCAGTAAGCTGTGAGTACATCACTGCACTCAAGCCTGGATGACAGAACAAAACCCTGTCTCAAAAAAAAGAAAAGGGGCCAGAAACAGTGGCTCACGCCTGTAATCCCAGTACTTTGGGAGGCTAAGGTGGGTGGATTACTTGAGGTCAGGAGTTCGAGACCAGCCTGGCCAACATGGTGAAACCCCCATCTCTACTAAAAATACAAAAATTAGCCAGGCATGGTGGCCACGTGCCTGTAATCCACCTGAGGCAAGAGAATTGCTTGAACCCAGGACATGGAGGTTGCAATGAGCTGAGATTGTGCCACTGCACTCCAGTCTGGGCGACAGAGCAAGACTCCATTTCAAAAAAAAAAAAAAAAAAAAAAAAGGAAAGGAAAATAAAGAGAGTAATACTCTATGCATTTAGGAAAATATGAATATATAAAATAACAGTTTAAAAACTTGTCATCTAATGAAAAGTCATACATGTTTAGGTATATTGTTTATGATGTAAAACAATTTTTCTGTAAATGATAATTTTCTATTTTGATTATTGAAATGCATACATTATGCATTTACTAGAATTCATTTAATCTTATGATAAACTGTGTGTTGCTTGAAGTGAGGCTGGGCATGGTGGTTCAGGCCTGTAATCCCAATACTTTGGGAGGTGGAGGTGGGTGGATCACTTGAGGTCAGGGGTTCGAGGCCAGCCTGGCCAACATGGCAAAACCCCGGCTCTACTAAAAATACAAAAATTAGCTGGGCATGATGACATGTGCCTGTAGTCCTAGCTACCAGGAGGGGAGGGAGCTGGGCTGAGGTAGGAGGATCACTTGAGCCCAGGAGGCAGAGGTTGCAATGAGCTGAGATTGTGCCACTGTACTGCAGCCTGGGTGGTAGAATGAGACCCCATCTCAAAAAAAAAAAAAATTCAAAGTAGAAATATTCTTTTCTCATATTTCAAATCAAATAATTCAGAATCAGAACCCAGTGTTTGATGTCTGAAATCCCAAACAGGTCCAGTGATTGTACTCATGGAACATAAGGGCTCACTTTGGGGTCGGCTGGGGGACCATGCTTCTGGTGGCTCATGTAGTGGGCCAAACTGTGGCTTGATAACCTGCTTGTTCTAAAATCATACTGTTTGTTGTTTGTCCATATGCTGCATTCCTCCTAGGACTTCTAGCAGCAGAAAGTAGGTATCCTTTGTTTTCCTTTAAGGTGTATCTTTTATGCAAAAGTGTTTGGCTTTGCATGGTTCGTAATCAGCTTGACTTTTTCCTTGGCTGTTTGTGTGTGGATGTTTAAGTATTAATTTTAACACTGCCTAGTCATAAAACTAAAACTTGGATATATTGATTTTTGAGGCGTCGTTACACAAACAATACTAACTTCTCACTTCTTTCTTAAGAGGAAAAAAGGCAGTGTTAAAATTTCAACCGCACTTAATACTTCACATCTGAATTTCACATACGAATACATTAATTCTGGGGAAAGGGTAACATTTGTTTTATAGTTTGCTTTCAAGAAAACTTTCAGGGTAAGTGAATTTTTCTTTGACAATTACATCACCTATAAGTGGTCTTTATTGCTTCCTGTTACTGAGTCCATTTTCAGTTTGTTTGGAGCTGTGAAATAAATTCTGAAATCTTGTCTCTTAACAACTTTTACCATCAGATAGAACATTTATAAGGAATAATGTAATGGCTAGATTTTAATTACAAAGGGGCATAATTTGAGTATGGGAGAAAATTAAAATGTAAGAAATGTACACACAGTTGAGTACCTGTAAAACTGAGGCAATCTGAATAAGATGGGTGGATTGTATCAATGTCAGTATTCTGGTTATGATAATATACTATAGTTTTGTAAAATGTTACCAATGGGGGAACTGAGCAAAGAATACAAGGGATCTCTCTGTATTATTTCTTACGAATGCATGTGAATCTACAATTATCTCAACAAAAATTCTAATTAAAAAAATAAACCTTTACCTCAAAGATAAATGAGAAAGCCTGGGTACTAATGATTGAATTCATTTTCACATTTTCTTACGTTAGTTATCTGTAGCTCAAATTGCAGCTGATTTAATATAAATCTCACAGTATATTAGTTACCTATTGTTGGGTAATGAATTACCTTAAAGTAGCAGTTGTCATCTCACAGTTTCTTTGGGTCAGGAATCTGGGCGTGGCTTAGCTGTGTGCCTCTGGCTCAGGATCTCTCCTGAGATTGTAGTCCAGTGCTGCTATCTCACCGGAAGGAAGGCACGACTGCAGGACGAATCCTCTTCCAAGCTCACTCACGTGGTTGTTGCCGGGCTTCAGTTCCTCACTGGCTGTGGTCCTCTTCACAGGGCTGGCTGTTCACAGCCTGGCAGCTCACTTCACAGCATGAAACATAAAAGAGGGGGCAAAAGTGAGAGAGAGTGCCCAAGACTGAAGACACAGTCTTTACAGCCTAATCTCATAGTGACATCTTACCACTTCTGCTCTATTCTGTTCATTAAAAATGAGTCAGTAAGTCCAGCCTGCACTCCAGGGAAGGGGACTGATTACACAAGGGTGGAAATACCAGGAGACCAGGTTACTGGGGCCCATCTTAGAGGCTGCCCACCACGTGTAAATTAATAACTATTAAAATGTAAGATTCTTTGCATCTAGATTTAGCATTCCTTTTTTTTTTTTTTTTTTTAATCAGCCAACCTGTCATGTTATTTGAGAATGGGCATCTTGAATGTATCAGTAGTGATTTTCCTTAGTTGTAAAGCTTTACACGAGTGGGTACTTAACAGTAGAATGTTATTAAAGTACTTTGAAAAATTTGTGCTCGAAGATGTTTCTGTTTGAAAGCATAGACTATTTTAATAATCATAATGGCATTAGAGATTATAACATCTATATGCTGACAGAATACATATGCAGAATTTACTTCCTTTAATAAATTTCAAAGTATCTGTACCATAATCTACATATGGAGAATCTAAAGCATGTATCACCATATGTAAGTTTTCATAACTTGAGTTGGATATGGCACAGATGCTTATATCCAAAATATAGTTTCCATTACAAGATTCATTATTGCTTATATCTTGATTGATAACAAAGAATTTGCTTTGTACAGTGGGAATAAAAGGTATTGAACAGGGTGTGGTGATAGAGGGAAGAGATTGGCTGCAAAGGGACAAGAGAGAACTTTTTTGAAGTGATGACAGTGTACACTTAAATGGCGAATTTTAACTTAAAACACTATACCTTAGTAAGCAGATTAAAAAAAAAAAGTATTGTGCTTGCAAGGAGGGGCTTTGATTGAGTAGGTGACAATAATGTGTATGTGTAGTAATATAATGTATTAATTGATCACTAATATAATAGGAAAGAAAAGGTATTGATTACTCTTAGAGGAAGCTAGGCTAGATTCAGATTCTAGATTTGCTCAGTGATGCTGAGTTTCATAGCTATACATTATAAATTAAGAAATACACACACACTGAGAATTTAATGTGTTATTTTGTGAAAATCTGAGAAGCAGGAATGGGATTTAATAATCTCAACTGTCATCCATCTGAAAAACCTAACTTGTGATTTTAAATAAGATGGCATACTGCCTTCCACCATTCCCTTTTAAAAACAGGAAATGTCCCTGCTTTTATCTTTATGTTTTATTTATGAATAAAGTTTGTACTATTTTTTTAAAAAAGAAATACACACACAAATCTTTATTGAAACAATTACAGTGAAAACCTGGGTATATCAAAACTCATTGAATGGTGCACTTAAGATTTGTGTATTTCATTCTATGTAAATTTTACCTCAGAGAGAAAAATAAACATTGCAATCTTTGCTGAAGTCTTTAAGGGTGAAGTCTACTAATGCTGGCCACTCTGCCATTTAATTTGAAATGAATGAAAAATACGTGAACTGATGGATAGATGGGTAGACATGTGATAAAGCAAATACAGCAAACTGTCAACATATGTAGGATCTAGGTGGTGGCCACGATTCTTTCAAACTTTCTGTATGTTTGAAGCTTTTCGTAGTAAAATGTAAGGGGAAAAACTTTTAAGACATGCTCAGCCTACTTTAACACTGAGAACTTTTTAGTCTAAACATTTGACTGTTTATTTTTCTGTCCTCCTTTTGGGTTATTTTTATTTGGTCAACCTTTTTATGAGACTTCCACTCTTGTAATGAAATTATTCTGGACTCAAAGCTTTTATTGACCTTAAAAGCGTATTCCTCTCTAAAGAAATAGACTTAGAAACATTTTTTAAACAGTTGACATATTTATGCTTTTTTTGACTATTATTTCATAATAGTAGCAGAAAACTTTTGAAAAACTTGTTTGTACTGGTGAGATTATTTGAAAAGGTAGAAGTGTTCAAAGTTAAAATGTGCAGGCCAGACATGGTGGCTCAGGCCTTGCCAGCTCTTTGAGAGGCTGGGATGGGAGGATTGCTTGAGGCCAGGAGATTGAGATCAGTCTGCACAACATAGTGAGACTCCATCTCTATTTAAAAAACAAACCAAAAAAAAAAGTATGATTATAAACCTGATTTTTAGATATAAACTTTATTGCCAAATGAATTATGAAAACAAAATACTATTCTGAAGGCAGGGCATTATAATATCTAATAAGTTCATGAATGTGGAAGTTTGGACTGAGGGCTAGTACAAAACCTTATATGGTAAATCAAATTGAGATTAAAGAGAGAATAGAAATTGGACATCACGCCTGTAATCCCAGCACTTTGGGAGGCCGAGGCGGGTGGATCACAAGGTCAGGAGATCAAGACCATCCTGGCTAACACGGTGAAACCCCCTCTGTACTAAAAATACAAAAAAAAAAAAAAAAAAAAAATTAGCCAGGTGTGGTGGCGGGTTCCTGTAGTCCCAGCTACTCGGGAGGCTGAGGCAGGAGAATGGCATGAACCCGGGAGGCGGAGCTTGCAATGAGCCGAGATCGCGCCACTGCACTCCAGCCTGGACGACAGAGTGAGACTCTGTCTCAAAAAAAAAAAAAAAAAAAAAAAAAGCAAAAGAAATTGGACATCACCTCATTACCAAATGCAAATCATTCTGGTGCATTGCTGAGGATAAAACATGATTTTGGGGGTGGGGGACAGTCTGTTATGGAAGGAACACTGAATTAGGAGTCACAGACCTGGATTCTAGGATTTGATCTTCTGCTCATTGCCTGTGGCCCTTGGAAAGGTTATGTAACCCTACTGAGCCTCTGGTTTTTCAAATATAAAAACACTTGCTGACCAAGCACAGTGGCTCAATGCCTATAATCCCAGCACTTAGGGCGGCTGAGGCGGGAGGATTGCTTGAGCCCAGGAATTTGAGAATAGCCTGGGCAACAGAGAGAGACCCCCATCTCTACAAAAAACTTTTAAAAAATTAGCCAGGCATGGTAGCATGCCTGTAGTCCCAACTGTTTGGAAGGCTGAGGTGGAAGGATTGCTCAAGCCCGGAAGGTCGAGGCTGCAGTGAACCAAGATCACACCACTACACTCCAGCCTAGGCGACAGAGCAAGATCCTGTCTCAAAACAAAACAAAAAAGCAAAAAACACTTGCCTGCAGAGACAGGGTTATTGTGGAATCACATAAGGTAGTGAGTGTAAAAGCACTTTGGAAATTATAAGCTGTTAATACAAATATAAGTATGAAAATAATTTCAACTGTGGCTTTAAGAAAACAGTACTATAAAAGGAATTGTTTTCTGTGGTTAAGTCTTTCTCATACTTTGTTTTCAGTTCTTCAGAATTTACTCAGAAAAACATCATTTTAATCAAGGGCCATTTTATGAAGTGTCTTTTGGTACAAAGCACTTTGCAAAGTACACCCCAGAATACAGAGGTGAATAGAATACCTAGAGTCCTACCATTAAATCAACTGCCCTCTGAGGTGAACTTGTATACTTTTTATTGATTGATTTTGTTTTCAAGATAGTTACAAGTTTATTCAGAGGTTTTATAGGAAAAACAGCCTTTTTAGTCTTTGAGAAAAATAAATAGCTCTTTTATATGTGACAGTATTGATCTACAAAATGAAAACTAGTAAGAGTTTAGTTAGCATATGCTGCATGTGTTATATTAATAATCACTAGTGCCTCGGGGTTTAAAATCTAAAACAATAGCAATGGAAAAGCCCACGAAGTGTCTTTGTGTCTATTTATATCTTACAATGAATTGAAACACCATGGGACTTTTAGATGGTTGGTACTGAACTACAGATATCAATTATACACAAATCTATCCAACCAAGAATGTGTTCTGTTGTTCTGTTTGTCATACCCAAAGAAAGAAATAACGGAACTAGAACAGGTATTAATGGAAGGTGTTAAAATGATCAAGGGTGAAGACAGATTTTGAGGTTAAGCCAAAAATATGTATTTATTCCATTTGAAAAGATGAAGGAGAAATGGAATAAAAACTCTATAATTTTTCTACCTAATTACAGAAACTTAAAAATGGGGGCACTTTTCAGAGCTTAAAATAGACAACTTGAGTACAACTAGGGAAATGCTTCTTTTCATGATTGAGAACCCATCAAGTTAATCATATTTGGGTACAAGATAAGACTATAAATCAGTTCAGAAGAGGTGACAGATCCAAGGAGGTTTAATAGACCTGTTGTAATTGTGGCTCTTGCCTACTCTAAATGCCTGCTAATAGATACCTTTGTGCTTTCCAGCAAAGCATCTGCTGGTTCTGTCAACACAGCTTTGATCCTGTGTGGGGGTGGTGAATTCCTGCTCATCCACCTCCTCTCTGCAGCTCCACAACTCCTCCCTAGGCAACCTGTGTGTCAGTTTGTCTTTACCTCTTTTATATCGTTTACTTCAGGATATAATATGCCTACTTCACACATCAGTCTGAGAGCCCCTTCCTCAGGGCCAGGGATCACATCTCTGATTTCTCTGAAGCCCCTGTCTAGTACCTAGCAAAAAGCAGGAATATTCAATAAAGATTTTGGGGCCAGGAGCTGTGGGTCATGCCAGTAATCCCAACACTTTTGGAGGCCGAGGTGGGCGGATCACCCGAGGTCAGGAGTTCAAGACCAGCCTGGCCAACATGGTGAAACCCCGTCTCTACTAAAAACAAAAAATTAGCTGGATGTGGTGGTGTGTGCCTGTAATCCCAGCTACTTGGAAGGCTGAGGCAGGAGAATTGCTTGAACCAAGGAGGCGGAGGTTGCAATGAGCTGAAATCATGCCACCGTACTCCAGCCAGGGCAACTCAGTGAAACTCTGTCTCAGGAAAAAAATAAAAATAAATATTTTGGTTATTGTCTGACCCAATAGGGCATTGTTCAAGTTCTTTTCCAACCTCCATATTCATGCATAAACCACACAATTTGCTGTTGAAGGTTTCTCGTATGTTTCCTAGCAAAGCCTATTAGTGTAGTAAGTTAGGCAAAGCATAGACTTTGAAGCCAGACAAACCCAGGTTTGAGTCCTGGCTCCACCATTTACTAGCTATGGCCTTCCATGACCCTTCTGAAGCTCAGTTCCCTATCTAGAAGGTGGGATAATATATCTGCCT